ATTTGCAGATTATCTTCGCTTTACGTTGGAAACGAAAATTTCAAAAGTCTTCGTGTTAAAAATACCGGTAACTTTTGTCCACTGGATGTCGAAACATTTTTTATAAAGTTTTGATGTCAAAGCAGTAAACGACGCTTTGTTCTTATTCGACTTCTCCTTTTTTATTTCACAAATCAATTACTACGTCTTTTTCGGTAATTATTTGGAGTGTCTTAACTTTTCCACTACGCACACATCTAATTGTCACGTAATTAATAGAATTGGGCACCTACACAGAAGACATGTTCTAATCAAGTTGATATTTTAAAATTTATATTTTCTTTCTTTTTTGTCGCCCGTTAGTCTTATAATCCTTTCAAAAAAAATTTTCTTTTCTCTGGTGCTATTCTTGCTGTAGTTATTAATATTTAAACTTTGTTTATATAATTTAATGATTCACCGTCAAACCTGAAGCCACAAAACCAAGTTAAAAAAGAGAATGCACACGTTTTTAAATAAATTTTTTTATCTTTTTTTTTCAAACAAGATTTCCTTGCTATCGTTTATTTTTTCTCCACACACCTCTGCCATCTTCCTTTCTAAAAAACCTCACACAACGTAATCGTCAAAAGCTACATCAAACAAAATCTTCTGCCAAACTCTTTTTCGTGCACGAATTTAAAAACTGGAATGATGCAAGGTTGATTTCTTAGCAAAAATCGTTAAGAACGAGGATGAGACGTATGTCGAGATCTGCATTCGTTTCTCTGCTTAGGACGCTCAAGTGCAACTTTGGATTCACATACCTTAAGCTTCGTGAGCCTCTGGTTCCTGCGGACTGTAACTTGCTCCGCAATCAATTCACCTTTCGTTGGTGTGTATTCTGGTGCCGGTAGTGGTAAAGTTTTCGATGTGGTGAAGGAACTGAGTGGTCCTTAATGGTACGATCTGGTCTCTGAGGGTACACCGTCTGTCGGGTTGCCACCCGGAACCGTTAGTGGAGGTGCCGCACCGGGCTTTTTCTGGCCTTGTGCTCTTTCGTGGCCCCTTTAGTTAACGTGGCCGTCACCGCTGCCCGGATGGGTGGGCATGGCACTTCTCAGTCATCGATCACGGCCTTCGCGTCTTTACATGTTTCTGCGGTTTTATCGCTGCTCTCCAAGAAAAAACGTTAGGGTGGGTTAAGGATAGGCATGAGTTAGGATAAGTACGTAGTACGATTTGTTCGCCTTTTCGTTGTCATTATAAATTTTAGTGAAATTATGCTCACGAATAATACAATAATTCATTTTTGTCCTTGTTTCAATTTAAACTCCTAATTCCACACCAATCCGACGAGCCAGACCGGATTATCGCCTGCTTAAATAATTTTAAAGCAAAGCATTAAACCTATCCGGTGTTTTCATAAAACATTCTACGCATTCTATGGCTTTATTGCTGGCACTGTCGTTTTCAGCGGTTCCGCCGCCTCTTTCCCTTTACAAGTAAGTGCGAGCCAACTAGGGCAGAAAGTGCAGCCAGCAAATTGAAAATTCACGCTTCACTTACGGTGGCTACGGATTCTATCCAAGAGAGCACTTTTTATCGCCCTTAGTTGGTCATCCTCCCATGACATCTTAGGGTAGCCGACTGGGGTAAATCCCATCCTAGTGAAGTCTGCCACTTCCTTAAAAGACGGGCCTGTTCCCAACGCGTGTGCCGCGGAATTGCTCGTGGTCGCAATGGGGAGTCTCCACAGTTCCAGTCTTTGGCCGTTTTGGGAAATAGCCGAGACTAGTGGTCGAAGAGTCGCCCTGTCTATCCCAGTTACAACCGATCTGGGGCCTTGCACTTTTAGAGACTCCATGAGTCGCCATTATGAGCCTGCATGCCCTTTCAAAGTTCATGCCACCTTTAATCAAAGCAGCACTACTTAGCCTCTTTTTCCTGCTACACCTTTCCTTACACTCTTCCATTAGTCGTACGCGAGTTCCTACAGATATTTCTTCAGGAGGTTCAGGCGAGGAGAACATCCGCGCCTTCGGTGGGTATGCTGCCGATATCTGAGCTGTTTTCAGACATAACAACATCTTCAATTTCCTCCGCGGTTTCGAATGTCATGCCTTTGGGAGGAGGCAGAGCGCTTGAATTTCGAAGGGGCGATTTTCCTTCCCCAGAAGCTGCCAGATACCTGGGACACATCGTTCACACAGTGCCATTCTAAAAAAAAATACGTGCCCAACCATTGAAGATGTGCACATATAAAACGAACTAAGCCTCTAACTACGAACACAAAACGAAAAAAGCTAAGTCGTTGCTACTAAATCTCATGCAAAATTATGTTATAAATACTGAAAAAATTTGTTATAATCATTTTCAGAGACATTACCCCACTGCAGATTTTTAATATGTAGTGAAAAATGCTAAAACCTATCAGAAAAACCTAATTTCATTACCCTTGTCCCAGTCCATCACCACCCAATTTTGAGTTATAAGTTATAAATATGATTTGATGAAAAATCGCAGAAATTGGGTGATATTCTTTCCATTGGATTTATTGGAATCTGCGGAGATTTCACTCTCAATATATGCAGAGTGGATGACATTATAACGTTATCTAGACTCTGAATATAGCTTCCAATTTGTTGAGACGCGATAGCATTCTAAACAAGGAGGTTTATTTAAGGATGAAGGCATGAACCCCATCACAAATGTGTAGGGTGAATTAGACAACCGTGTGCGAAAACACTAAATCTCTTCCCTACAACATCTGAAAAATAAATTACAAAAAGAATCGAGTAAGATCCCTGTTTCCCACACAAGAAAAATTATGCAAAATATGTGAAAACGTTTAGATGAGTTTATTAAGGAAACACAACACCCTACCATATATTAAATTATATAATATGCTTTTTTTTTCCTTCGTATACTTATATGCTTATATGACAAGAACCCAATATGTGGTTTTGAGTTCTTGAAGTTATTGATTCTTCTTGTCTACTGGAATAATGTTTTGTTTATGTTTCTTATATTTTAATATGTACTCCCTGGTAGTACAAAATAGTAAAATAAATTTTCATCTCTTAGTTTATGTTTTATCGAGCGAAAAAATCTAATATTAATGCGGCTCACTGTACATAGCACACTTATTTATGACAACTTGCAATTTTTTATTAGGATCATAATCTAATTTATCAGACATATATATAACGCACATATATGCTCCGTCCGATATGAACGGCATAACAAGACATTTAACTAATCTTAGTGAAGATTGGAACATAAGATGAGTATAGCCATTGTTTTCTTAAAATAATACGAAAACGAATAACTGTTTAATTAGCGCGTCATAACTCTCGTTCAAGCGAGAGTTACGCCTAAAATCAAGGTTTTTGACCGCACTAACAAACTCCATAACCTCTTCAACCATTTTCAGGTGCGTTAAGGAACAACGGTCGTAACCTGTTGGCGATATTACAATGGTACATTAAATTTGCGCCGATATATGCAACATACAAAAATTACTTCAGTTGGGCTCACATTTCATTAGACTGATCAATTCATAATCACTTTCGGAGTCGATTTAAACCTACCTGTCTGTCTGTTGTTTTCTTGTTTTCAACGTAAAGGCGGCAAGTTTCCAGATATTTTAAAGAAATTTCAAAGACTACACTACTGCTACCACTTTTTCGACCACTTCACGTTTTTTTTGAAAAAGGCGTCACATCAATGACAAGAGGACAAACGTAACGTTCTTACTTGTTTTTCACACATATTCTAGTTAATAGTTAAGCAAAATCCGAATGCACACTGTAAGTATCCGTATTTGTCGTAGTGACTTGAAAGTAGATGTTTCACAATAATGCTCCAAATCTTAGTTTCCTTCTTTACTTTATTCTTTATTATTGCTAGTCTGTTGAGGTGACTTTTTAATCCTTTCAGCATAATTGCATTTACATCCTCAAATGAATCGAAACTTCATTTTTAACGTAAGTTTAACTTCATCAGAAGAAAAGATCAAATTAACACGACGCTCGTTCAAGTAAATTGAGTTTTTGGATAAAAGGGTTTGCGCAAAGTTGAACTCGTTTCAAAACAAAAAACCGGCTATTTTGTTAACAAAATGTTTTTACCTTTTTGACATAATAAATTTCGCTACCCACTGCCACATATATGTGACACGGCCTTTTCTTGACGCCATATATGTCAGTTTAAATGAAGGCCTTTTTTAATATTACACTCGAGGAATCGTGCCGTTAGCTTGAAAAAAGAAATTTTGTAAATATATTTCCAACGCGTACCTTTAAAAAGATATAATTCGGGTAAGATATACGCAAAATTAATTTCACATATTTTAATTATCATTTCCTTCCTATAAATACCACTGTAAGCGAAAAACCTTAAGCAGTAATTTAAAATTTGTTTGTGTTATATGTATGGAAAGGTATTGGGAGATTAGATGGTGAGAGAAATATAAAGAGAGAATCATCAGAGTACTGAACAACCAAAAAGGCAGAAAGAAGAAGAATAATAACATTTTAAGGAGAATAATGGGAGAAGAAGAGAATAATTCATACGCTAAGGGTGTTTGTTATCAATGTTTTTTTCTTTTTGTTTTTAAACTTGTTGTATCCGTGTATGGATATACACTGTAAATTGAAGCTAGTAAACAAATTTAAAATAATACTTCATTCAGTTTTTGGCGGTACCTGAAATCGAATGGTACTCAGTATCGCGTAGAGAGTTTATAGCCGTAAAAAAAAGATTTTAAATCTAAATTAATAATCAAATGTATAAAAATTCCCTTAACATGAAATAAATAAAAACCGTAAACAAAAAAAAAGTCGAAATGTCGTTGTGTACAAAAGCAAAACAAAAAAAATTTTATTAATTATAAATATTATAAAATATTAATAAAAAATTTAAGATATTTTTAAAATATTTTACATGAAAATTCATAAAAGCAAAAAAAAAAAAAAAACGAAATTAAAAATTTAAAAAAAAAAGTTTTTCAATATTTTCGTGAAAAATTTACAAAAAAAAAAAAAAATTGTTTTTTGATAGCTGATAGAAAATAAAATTTTATGAAAATGTTTACTACACCTAAAAAGCATAACCTATCAAATAATTGTAACACATCCGCAATGATTACGAATCGTTATAAGCTATCAAATTCCACCCCTAATCTAACCGTTCATAGCAGTAACAATAATAGTAATAAAAGGACTTCTACTGCCGTCTATGAAAATGGTTTAATGTACGGTTCAATTTGTAATGCAGACAGTGTTAGTAAATTAAATCGAACATTACCAACAAGACCGGAAAAAGAAATTAATAATGCCGGCAGCAGTGGACTTAATAAACAGAATCACTGTGAAATAAATATCGTGCATAGCGAGGATTTAGCTATGGAAAGTACAGCTTTACTAGCAAACACACTCTCACCGGATAATATATCACAAAGTGACCAAAACAACACCACCACCACCGTACACGATGAATTGAAACAATTAGAACAGGACAGTGATTTTTTAGAATCGAGTATTTACAGTGAACTGCAATTTCCACCCTCGATGTATGATACCGACGGTGTTTGTGTTGATGATGACATCGTTAGCGTTAGGATAGCATCTCCTGTCAGTTTACCACAAACACCCACCAACACCAACGGTCGCGCACAACAAATCAAGCGTATTAAACGAAAACATAGAACAAAATCAAAATGTAGCGCCACTGCGGCTGCTCTTTTGGCCAACCAAAGAGCTTCACCCACTTATCCGCCACGTTATACTGCCATTTATGTGGGTTCCTCACACAATCAGCCTGATAATCGGTTAACGGCAAATCATGGCAACGGCAATGCCGCAACAAACGCATTCGGGCAGATAGTTAGTGCGGCAGCCGCCTCACCATTTCTTAATGCAGCACCTGTTGCACCCAATGGAACATATATTGAACAATTTCAATATCATCAGCAAAGGCCTATGATAACAAGTATGACAACATTAGGACGCCATCGTCATCATAGGTAAGCTAAGAGCTTGTAAAAAATGCTAATACATAAAGAACAACATTGCATTACTGCTATGAAAAACCACGTTTACCCAGTCCTTTAATGAACTTCTCATATTGATTAATATTTAGGAAAGCATATCATGATCAAACATACCGTTTTTCTTTCCCCCCCATTTGAATTGGCTAAGCTTTACAAACCACGTTGCTTGGATACGTATTATTTCAAAATAGAATCTGCAAAACCTAAAAAAAAAAAAATATTTTGTTCACATTCATAAGCACATAAATATTCAATTTTAAAGGAATACCCGCTTCAGTTTAATAAATTATATATTTTCGTTTATGGAGGACGGATTAGGCCACCTCTTCAAATGTCCAGTTTCATTTACTGTAGCTACTTGCAAGTATCCTTATCATGTTTTCACTTGAAAAAGGCATTTATTGAGAAAAAAAAAAAAAGGGTACAACATATAATGAGTAAAACACCACACCTTTTTTCGTTTTCTACAACTTTTTCCCATCTTCCCATCTGGCAACATTAGCGATACCTTCTCGAAAGAACGTCATCGGTTTGGCGGCGATCGACTGACGCATTTCTTTACCATTTCGAAACGGTGTGCCAGTCGAGCCATTCTGCATCGATCTGAACAAGTGGTAATCAGAATGTGCTATGCCTAGGATGAAGAGGATGACTTCGTGTCTGTTAACCGCTAGTGCTGTTCTTTTCTGCAACAATACATGATTCCATTTGGTGAATTGACGTCAGTAGATATATGCAGCAACTGTTTCATTCGGTTTTAAGAAGTCGTCATACGCTACACCTTTCTTGCTCCCCCACAGCAAAACTTTATGGACGTATTATTCCGATTATGAATATGGATTGAAATTTGATATATTTTTCTCTTTTCGAAAAGAGTGTAATAAGGCGGCATAGATCGTCTGTTTTAGCATCGTCGTTTAGCATAAAAAGAAAATTATATAATCATTTATATATTTTTTATAATAAGAGGAGCCAATGATCGGATTGGAATAGTTTTACATCGAAATTTTGAGCGTCTCTTCGCAATACTTTTGTCATCTTAATCTTAAAGCCATATCTACTGTAAATTATTTTACACGTCAGTGGTACATGTATTTGCAAAACTGTTCGCTAAACGGATTTAACAACAACATAATGCTACAGGCTTGAGCTTACTATCTGTAAAGACTACCAACTGCAAGTGGCAGACGGATAGACTGACTTGCTTAAATTTATTCAAAATCTTACATTTATTGACGTCGAATCGCGCTTTGATTAAAACTGTAAATATAGTTTATAAGATCTCTTAAGGTCAAGTATCAAGGATAGGTCAAACAAATTGTGTTACAAAAGTCGTATAAATCCATCTTTCATTATTGATTCCGTGCCTCGGTTTATAAAATCATTCATTTACTTAAACCTAAAACAAACAAACATTTATTTATTATGAACACGAAGATTTTGTTTTCAAATCTTTTATTATTGTATAATACCTAAAATCAACTTCAGTTTAATTGTTGATACTCTTTAAGTATACATATCCTATCCTAAATCCTAAAGAAATTTTTGGAAAGTTTATAGAAAACATTTGACGAAAATTGTCCGTAATTGCGATATCAAAGCAACTTATCTTCTCAAATATTTAGAATAATGCTACTGTTCCGGTGTACGAACGCAGGAAAATATATATTTTCAAAAATGTTGATCACTTTTTCACTTGAAAAAGACATTTAGTATGGTACGGGAAATTGGTGCAATACGTATTAATCAAAATAGTTTCCATTATTTTCTACAACATTTTATAATGTTTCTGGCAATATGGCGATATCATCGCAAAAGAACTTATATTGATTTGGCAGCCACGGACCAACCGACCCACTTTCGTAATTCAAATTTGCGGGCCCGAGTGCCAGCCAAGCTATGCTGCACCGATCTGAAAAAGTGGTAATTGTTATTATATTGGGTGTGGCAGTACTTACCATTCGAGCTGCAACAGCGTAGCCTGGACGACTCTTACAACAACAAGAGGCCGAAAATTGCCATTTTCCGTCAACTCGTGTCGCTACGTTTAAACCGTTGAACCGTTGGAATATGATGTAGCAGCATCACCGTAAGCCTCTGAACGTGTTAAATAGGCTTCGGTAGGCGATTTCCTCAAATGAACCACAAAAGTAATGCGTTTGGAAGAAGCCGAATTTTAAGCGCCCCACGATTATCGTCTACGTAGCCTGTATGGTAGAGAAACGTCAAAGTCATCGAATTCAATCGTTATGTATACTACCTAGTATTTTCCATTTCTTTATTATTTTTAGTTGTAGAATTCGCTGATCAAAATTTGTGCAAACACCTAATAATAAAAACATACCGATCCCAACAGTGGGAATGGAATAAGTTAGCTCCCAAAGCTAGTATGAAAGAGTGTGGATTTGTTCATTTCTAATTTTCTAATATAAATACGTGCAGCTAATCCTTTGCACGTTCGACCGTTCGCAAGCATTTTAAGTAAATTGATAACACACATTTGTACACTTTTTTGATTAGAGAGAAAATTCATCCCATGTCAACAATCAATTTTATCTTTACTTTCTGTGTACGATAGCAGAGTAAAAAGCAATAATTTTCTTATGTTATTGTTTACTTTTTCACTGTTCGGCTTAAATCAATATTTTTTTAAACCAATGTTGAAAGTACATGCAAGCTAAGCAGAGTATGGAGACTTAGGGAGCTATTTCCCGTTGAGCATCGTCTTTTTGATAAGAAATAATGTAGAATTTTGAAAATTCATAAAATTTTGTTGCATTTACTTTAAAATATTATCGACCCTACTATCGTAGTCGCACCAAATGTTTATTTAACAATCTTTGATTTAATCGCGAATGTATAAAATTTTTGATCAGAATGTATTTAAAATATTTGAGATAAACCGGAAAAACCAATAGATGTGGTATAGCGGACAAGGGCGATCGAAAATTCTACATTATTTTTATATAAATGCATATTTTTGATGAAAAACCCTTCATATTAGAATATGCTCAAACGTTAACGTGGTCTAATCTTAGAAAACTTGTTTTACTTGTTAAAGCTTTTGTTAAGATCCGTCATAACAAACCATAAATTGAGTCTTGTTGCTATAAAAGGTACAATGTAAAAAATTGATTTATGATCCAAATTCCCTATGGTTGATTTACTACCTTACTTTTGACATTCAAAGCCTTAGTTTGGATTAGAACACTTATATGGCATGGGATCGAAAAACAGACCTATGTCTCCGGTAAGGTTAACTTTTATGTCCAATTATTATTATGAATGAATTTTCATCATGAGGTATTGAAAGTTATGTAGAGGGTCAATAAATCTCCCCATCCTATCCAAAGCTTCCACACCAATTTAGTGCGCCGTAATACGAATAGGAATCGAAAGCGATTTTTATCGCAACTACAATAATTTTTGTCATAACGACTTATCAAGTTAAGACCTTATATGTAGAGTGATCGAAAAAGTGGTTCGCTTTGAACCATTTTTAATAGCGTTCGTCCTTGTACCAGAGCGTAATCTCTCTCGGCCATACTGTCGTGAATGTCAGGATTTTGCCAGAAAACTAAACACCAATCAAGGAAAACTATTATCTGTGTGTGTATGTTTGTATGGACATCTAAGACTAATATGGTAGCGAGTTGTAATGATATAAAGTGCAAATTCATACAAGTCCATTTAACGATATATGAACGGGATCACCGACTTGGGTTAAAAACGTCTGCTTCGGTTGATGCTTCAGAGAAACCTCAACAAAGTTTCTTATTATAGCCTACACGACTTGTAGTATAGGGTATATGAAGTTTGTGCGAATGTAACACCCATAACGATTTAAGATAGACCCACATTTTGTTGTTTTGATCGACTCTTTATCTTATTTCTTATATCTGTGCATGTTTTCACCCTATAGATCGCAATTTTTAAAACATTGTGGCGAAAATTTGTACACTGATGCGTTTTGAACCAAGGACGACCTACTTTTTCGGCCAATGACTTTTTCCCATAAAACGCCTCATTTTGAAAAATAGTTATATTAAAAAAAGTCGCAAACTTTTAAAGAAGGGCTGAATGTCTCGGGATTCTAAATTGATGTGAAAAATTTATACTGGATGGGCTAATCGTTTAAACAGCCTCTCGTATGAACGCTCTTTTGAAAAACCTCCATATGGTAAAAAGAGAATTGTTTAGCATTTCACGGTGAAGATTAGTCAACAATAAGAATTTGATATAGAAATTAACTTTATCGAGTTCGGGCCAAGTAGCTGCATTTTTCAGACATTTTTCAGACAAAATTACAGGGCTATACGACAATAAAATATCACTTGTAGTTTTTATGACGAAAACCAACGCAAAATAACAAAATTTTTATCAAACAAGTTAAATTTCTGAAAGTTGTATCAAATCCATTTACATTTTGTGCACCTTTTCAATATGAGGGCTTTCATGCAAAGCATGCCTTCACATGAAAATAATGCATAATGTTTGAACGATTGTATTAGGCGTAGTGTTCTAAGGTATTTAATGGTCGGCCTTGACCAACTATATCTATTGCTAGTTTAGTTACAATACAATGCTATCGCTAGCATATCTTTCTGAATGCAACGAATTGTTCTTTCATGATGTAATGCCGGTTACTGATAAATAGCATTAATCTAAATGCAAAGATGGTAGCGCGTCATAATGATCCACACTGGATGATTGTTCTAACTTTCATCACTATTGTTGCAATGCTGAATAGGTAGACAAGATTTGTCTACAATACATTTACATAAGTATGCGATACATACCCACGCATGATTAAGCATACAATTACTTACATTTACACCTACTTAGATCACCTATTAAGTATCACTAAATCTTTTCAGCTGTTTGCCTACCCTTTATACAATGAAAAATTGATCTTCGTCCGATGGCTAACAAAGCCAACCGTTTATCATTAAAAACTACTAAAAGAAGCAAGT